CCTCGCCATGCCAGATAAGTTTCTTTTTTTTTATCTTCATTTTTTGTTAAAAACATGCACACACATTAAAACCCACCCCACACTAACCCTTCTGCCCCACTGTTAAAATACTAACCTCCCTACACACAAAAAAACCCTCTCTTTCTCTCTCTCTCACGAATCTGAACCTCCCTTCACAAGACAATTCACAATTCTCATCCCACACTACTTCATCTCTTCAACATCTAAGGTATGGTTTCAACACACGCTTTAATTTGGAATTATTGGAACTAGTCGAAAGTGATAAACTCATGCAGCCTTTATGTATCTTTTTAATGGTAAAACTGTGCATGTTTATCCCAACCCCCTGAACCCCTTAGGATTAGTATTGTTGTTGCTTGGAAGAGTTTTCACACTCAATTCCCAAGCCGACTTCGGAGGGTGAGGCAATCCCTCACCAACACAAGCACTTCCATGGCACTAGTGCGCACCAAGTGTTTGCCAAAAGTCAAAGGAAATCTTTGTCCGAATTGCAGCTCGAGTCTCCATGATTGATACACTAGTGCTATGTAAGCTTACGATCATATGATTTTAAGTGTGGGGTGGCTCCAGTGTTCTAAAATTCTCTTGAACCCTTCAGGATCCGAACCAACTATACTCTCAAGTGAAAAATCACCAAATGAAACTAGGGAAGTCTCAAATCAAGGAGAGAGGGATAAAACTCAAAATAACTGGTTGGGTCGCTATGTTCTCCGTCACTTAAACATAAGTTCGTCCTTGAATGTCCTTAGGATCATTATGAAATCATTGAATTGTTGTATAAACTCATCACACACATCCCGTAGCGGTCACATATCACCTCTATATCAGTAGCTTCATTAACACAAGATTCCTCCTTCGACCTAGCTTATAAGCCTATGAACTCAACTTCGATATTCGAAACGTCCTCCAATATCTGACTTTTGTATGTGTTCACTATATCTACCTCAATACACATCTCAAGTCATAAATGTACTTCATGAGCAAAATCTCATGATATATCATACACTTTTATAACCATGGCGAACTTCCATTCAGGTAACCTCTTAATTAAACAACAAACAATTACCCAACCTACACCGATAAGAATGCCTTGATCTAGTCTTGTCTTACTTCCACCATACCATGATGCCTTAAATGATAAAAAACATCAAGGACATAAGCCGATACACCACGACTCTAGGTCATGTACTTCTCTAATCATAAAAGAGCTCATTAGGAAAGAGCTTTTGCCTGTTCTGAACTGGCTCAAAGCTTTTTCATTCCATATTGACCTTAACCAAGTCTGATTGTGCTAATTCCAAGTCCATTAATTTTATCTTATATGAGTACAAGCTACTCATTCAACAACCACCATAAAATTCCATATCAATCTTCAAATGTCATGGTTGTGAATCATACAAGCAATTTCCCCATTATGTCAAATTTATAGAAAATCATTTGGCCACTCTAATAATTCCTCGATTCCATGGTATTCCTTCAAAACAAGTCTTTCAGCATTTGTATATCCCGCTTCAACTGTCAATCACACGGCGGACAAGCACCCCCATTTAACCCAATTCGTGAAACCATAAACACCTGACACAACTACCATAATCATATTGTGGACTGCCACTCTAACCATATCTGATGGAAGAAAATATAAGTAACTGTGACCCGACATAGAATACACAATATCAATAGGCCTACTCGTAGTCACCTAAACTGATTCAAAACCTTTCCAGAGTAGGTATCAAGTCTTCCACAACTCCATAGTAACTCGTTATAACTCCTAATCATATGTATCAAATAACACAGTGTCTCAACTCTTGATATTTAACCAGTATCAACTCAAGTGTTGAGAAGCAACATCTTGTTTCTTTTTCTTCACGTTTTTCCAACCACATATGATGCACATAACCTGATATACCCTCATTGTCACAACCCAAAATCCTACAAAGGATCGTGATGACTTTTAGTCTCTGTGGCTATGCAAGCCCATCAGATATGAATCCAATCAAAATATAAAAACTTCAAAAATTTAAAACTGAGAAATGCCATAACACAACAAAACGAAGACACAACAGCAAAACCCAGTAATACAAAGTCATAAGTCTACATGAAATAAATAACAAGTCTCAAGAGTACAAAATTGTTTGGGATGCATGAACAATAAAAAATGAAGTAAGAGGATGACTCCGAGGCCTAGGAACGAAACTACAGGAATACCTTGAAGTCTCCAATAAGCTCTAGCACACCGCCTAACGATCATCTCGATCCAAAGTACCTGGATCTGCACAAAGAATGTGCAGAAGCATAGTATGAGTACACCACATTCGGTACTCAGCAACCATCAAGACTAGCCTTGGTAAAGTAGTGACGAGGTTTAAGCCATGATACCCACTAATCATATAACCTGTAACAATACAAAAAAAAGTGACAGTAAAGTGCATAAAGGAACAAATATCAACAACCTCGTAGAGCATGTAACAACAGCTCAATGTAGACTAAACCATCTTAGCCAATAAAATATCAAATGGAAATTGGACAAGTGATAGCATATCAAAATCAACCCACAACTCCCAAAGCACTGACGTAAACATTTAAGAAACAAGTACGTGATAAAAATATCAACCCTTTTCCAACACAACAACAACATCAAAAGAACACTCCAAAAATATCACATGCATCACCAACAAAGCCACCCTTAAGTCACCGCATACGCAAAATCCATGAAAGGCCTCCCTTATGTCGTTGTATGCACATATATAGCCACCCTTCTCTCGCCGCATGCACATCATAATGAAATTTCTCCCTTACGTCGCGCATGCGCATCTCGCCACCCTTATACTTCACACAACAATCAACATGCACAACATATTCACATGTGCCACAATATCACAACACAACAGTGCCAAAGTCACTTTAAGATATAAGCTCACAACTCAATAACAATATGTACGATACCATAACAATAATACGAGAGTGCGGGGTGTATTCAACAATAAAGCGTATTTCACATAGCAAACAACCATAATTCAAGGCATGCTAATGGACTAAGACCTAATCCGGTCATAAACCCCACATAGGCCCGTGTACACACTCGTCACGTCGTGTACACGTTGTTTTCATATAACACAAATATGCAAATTAGACCAAATCCTAATAGGTATTCCTCCCTCCCCCCCCCCCCCCTTCCCCTCCACACAACGTTAGGTAAGATATTTACCCTAATTAGGCCAAATCAATACTCTAAAAATATTTTCCTTTAAAATTCACCTCCGTCCGACTCGGATATAGCAAAAAAGGACTCAAAAATATCAAGTAATGCAAGAGAAATTAATTTTAATCAATAATGCTGAAAATCTTTACCCATTTCTCAAAAAGTCAACAAAAGTTAACCCAAGGCTCGTTCGGTCAAAACCCGAGTCGAGGGACAGATCTCGACTATCCATAACCCCCGAGTCCAAATATATGATTAGTTGTCAAAATCGAGTCCAAATCAACTCTTGAATCTCAAATGTTTGTTTTATTTTAAAAAAGATTTTGTCAAAAACCCCAATGTTCACTCATGGATTCATCAATTAAATGTTAAACCAAAGATGAAATCAATGAAAAATAATCAAATCCGAGCCAAAAACACGTACTCAATCCAAGTGGGTGAAGAATGCCTCAATAATCGCCTCAAATCGAGCTCACAATATCAAATTATTAAATAATGAGTCTAAGTGTCAAAATTCCTACTAAAACCCAATTGCAGATATCGCATTTGCGACCAGAGGTTCACAAATGCAACCTCCACAAATGCGACCAAGGGATCGCAAATGCAAAGACTGACAAGCCCGGGCTATGTCGCAATTGTGACTAGGAACTCTTTAAATGCAAAGTTAGCTTCCATCGCAACAGCGACCAAATGATTGCAATGCGATCTCCCCTGCCAGATCCCCAGTGCAATTTCATGGTTGTCTTCGCAAACATAAATCCTGCTGTCCCCATCCCTTCTTCGCAATTTCAACCAGGTCCATCGCAAATGCGGAGATTGCAAATGCGAACTGGTGCTCGCATTTGAGGTACCTGCAATACTAGCAAAACCAGCAACACTGAAACAAGTCCAACATACTCTGAAACGCGTCCGAAACTCATCCGAACCCCCCGGAGCTCCATACCAAAGATCCACACAAGTCTATAAACATCACACGAACATGCTAACAAGTTCCTAACACCAAAACAATATTCGTAGCCATGAATTGATCACCAGAATGAATCAATTTTTGACTTCTTTACTTTATTTTTGTCATAAAAATGGAAAATTACAAATATATAAAAATATATATATATATTAGCTTACGTATCTTTCATAAATTTAAATAAATAAAAAATACAAAAATAGTACTTTATTTTTATCTCTACATAATTTTGAAAATACAAAAAAATATAATAGTTTCATGTTAGCTTTTGCATTGTGTAGTATTTTTATCTTATTTTAAAAGGAGTCAATAAGGTGTTGGATCACAATTTTAAGAGTGATAGAGCCCAGTTCTTGGCCCAATTCGGATTGGTCCATTAAGCCTAGGGACCTTTCTAGACTCTTCTTTGGGATAAAAAATAAATAAAAAAGACCCTAAGGACTTAACGTAAAAGACCTAGGGACTAATTGGCAAAATACACAAAATAATAACCTAAACCTAGACTCTACATATACGAACGCCTACCATCTGAAAAGGGAACGAAAAAGAGACGCCTGGAAAAGAAGAGCCGCATAAGAGAACCCTTTTTTTTTTGGATCTTCTTCTTCACTCCACCAACACAAGACTCAAATCAGACCTATATCCCATAAGAAACGAGCCGTTTGCACCAAAAGGGACACCCATCGGATTTTGGTCTATCATCTTCAAAAATGAAAAACGTTGAGGACCCCTAGAGAACTTCCGCCGTGGCTACACCAAAGAANCCTAATCCTACCCCTATATAATAGTACCTACACCTAAAATAAACCTACACCATATACAACAAAAATAACGCCTAACAATCTGAAAAAAGAAAAAGCTGAGCGCCGCAGACCAGAAAAAAACCCCATCCCCCTCAGTCTCTGCCTTCTACAAGACCCCCCTGTTCTCGTCATCTTGAAGCAACCAAAAACAGATGCTAGAACCAAAACACCCCTGAGCCATCTTCTTCTTCAACACTTTTGTCAGCCAAAATCCAGCCCGTTGCCGCCACACCCGACCAGCGAAATCCTCCATTCCAACGCCTAGCTCCCTCCAGCGAAATCCTTTAGCAACCAAGAGCAGCCGCTGATCCTCGTCTCTTCGAAAACATGTAGAAGTAGCGTGAGAAGGCAGTGACAAAAGGTCGCAAGAACAGATTTGAGACGATTATGTTTTTGCATCTTCCATATTTCAAAATGATATTCCAGTCATGAATTAGCTAGGACTGTGTTCCAGAAAATGAGCGTTGTTTGAGGTTCAATCTTGATTTCCTGGCAAATTCGAGGTCGCCGGAGGCATCGAGGTACTGTCCGTTGGTTTTCCGGTTCGATTGTTACTGATTTCGTTCGAAGCTGGTTCAATTTCTGACTGTAATTGTTGCTTTATTCAATCCGTATAAATTTCAGGTTCATCTTTGTTCCGTTGGTTTCTCTCTTCCAGATTTAATCAGTTCATGTTAATGTTCAGTGTAGTCTTTGTTTCAGCAAGTTTGAATGTGTTTGTAATTAAGAAGATGGTAGTATTAATTAGTTGCTTTGCTTTTTTTTCTCTGATTAGCCTTTTACCTTGTGGTGTCATTGTTGGGAGGATTAGATGCCCGTGAAATGCAACAAATGTCCGATTTCTTTTTTTTTTTTACTGTGTTACTAGATATTGCTATCATTTTTGCCTCCTGTTAGTTGGGAATTAAAGTGTTTGGGTGTTTAATTGTTGGGTGTTAAAGGGCTGTAATGCGTAGCTTCGGATCTGGATAATCGTGTTTTCTCATTTTCGTATTACTCTGTTTTGCTTAATAGTGTGCTTCCATTAATCTATCGTTCTCTGTTTTGTGATGTGCTTGGATTGAAGTTTTATTGTTTTTATTTGAGGATGGGATGAGTTTTATGAGAGGCAAGTTAGCAAGTTAAAATAGTTTGTAAAATCTCAAATCAGATGAAGCGAGTTGCGGGAAAAATGTTTTAGAATATAGATCAATTGTTGGAATTCGAGTGCTCTGGGTTACTATATCACGATTTGTTTTGGAATGTCTTGATAATATTCACTTTGTTAGTAATTCTTGTTTGCACGTTGCTTAGCAAATAGTTTGTTCTGGATGGTTTTTTTTAATGGTAAAATTGAGTTTTTGATTCCATGTTTCGCCGCTTCGTTATGAGGCAAGTGCTTAAGGCTTCGAGTATATTTGAACATCAATAGTCTATGGCCCTCAAAGTTTAGTTCAAGTTGCTCCTTTAGAATCGGGATCAAGGTATGCTGTGCCAAACAAAATCTCAAAATGCATGGCCCTCATTTAATTAATGTTCTTATTTATCCTTAGAAATCGAGGCGTGCCATTTAGCGAATTTCCATGGCCCTCGCAAAGTCAACAATGCGTAGTTGCTTTTAGGCGCTTTATTTAATAATCTTCTTTCCTAAACTCGGGTGCACATTTATGTGACTCAAATCCAAATTTCAACGTTAGATAAAATGTGTTATGGGCTACGGGTGCATTTATGTGACGTGGCCTGAAGCATATTTTAAATAGCGTTGCAATCTTTCTTAAAAATAATTAAATAAAAGCGGCCAAAAGTTAAAATTGCACATAGGTTCCAAATATTTTTTAAATAAGATAATTAAGCCGAATATAACAGTTGAGCGACCGTGCTAGAACCACGGAACCCGGGAATGACTAACACCTTCTCCCGGGTTAACAGAATTCCTTACTCGGATTTCTAGTTCGCGGACTGTTAAACAGAGTCATATTTTCCTCGATTCGGGATTCAACCGGTGACTTGGGACACCATAAATCTCTCAAGTGGCGACTCTGAATCTTTTAATAAAACAAATCCCGTTTCGATTGTCCTTTAATTGGAAAAACTCCTTTACACCCTTGCGGGTGTAGGAAAAAGGAGGTGTGACAGATAGTACCACCACACTCTTAAGCAATTTAAATGTGGTGACCTGATAGGTTGTTTTGAGTTCTAGCTTTCCGTTATGTGATTTGAGACCTTGAATAACTTCATTTGATGATTTTATGACTTGTATGCTTGGTTCGTTTCGATTTCAAAAAAGTTTAAATATATTTTTGCAAAGAAAAATTGATTTTGAACTTTAAAGTTGTTGCAGTTGACCACGGTCAATATTCTTGATAAACAATATCGGTTATGTATTTTGATTATTCCAGTAGGTTTGTATGAAGATTTTGGACTTGTACGTATGTTTGGTTTGGGTCTCGGGTGACCCGAGGTTGTTTCAGCACTCATTGTTGAAAGTTAAAATTTGAACTTATGAACACTTGGAAATCTTTGAGTTTTCTGCTTGATTCTTGATTTCTGATGTTGTTTTGATTATTTAAGCTTACGATCAAGTTCATATGAGGTCTATACACTTGTGTGGTAGATCCAAGGAGCTCGGGTGAATTTTAGATAGGTTTTAGCTATTTTGGAAAGTCTTGGAATTGCTAGTGCTGCAATCGTCGCAATTGAAATGATCTGCTCGCAAATGCGAGGTTCTCAATTGCGAACTACACCTCGCACTTGTGAACATGATATCGCCTTTGTAGTCTCGCAATTGTAAAGCGAGTGTCGCATTTGCAACATTTGAGGCGTAGGGCCTATTATGCAATTGCGGCCAATGGTTTGCATTTGCGATATGTGAAATTGCAAACAAAAGTTCGCATTTGCGACATCTGCATTTGGAATAAAAAATAAGGGATTTCAGGATTAACTCACTTTGTTCTATTTTTTAGACCTAGATTTCTTATATAGGCGATTTTGGAGAGGATTTTCTTTCCCACTTCAAGGGTTAGTAACTTAAACTTTTTTGGGTTAATATCCATTACTTTAGAATTTCATCCCTAAATCTAAGATTTCATAGTGTAGAAACAGATTTGAGGCCAAAATTTAGGATTTGATATTTTAGAGATTTAGACCTAGATTTGAGGTCGGATCTCGAAATAAATCACATATCTGCACTCAGGGATGAATGGGTAACCGGGAGTTAGTCTTGATTTCAGATTTCGACCAAGTGGACCCGGTTATCTTTTTATTGACTTTTCCAAATATGTAAAGATCGAACCTTTTTTAAACTAGGATAGTTTCTAAAACTTGTCTTTAATTATTTGAATATAATTGGTAAGATTCGAGTTATTTGGAGGCTTCTTCTAAAAGAAAAGCAATGTTGGATCGTTGATTTAGTTTCAGAAAGAGGTAAGTATCGTAGTTCACCTTGATTGAGAGAATTAGGTTGTAAGTGTTTACTTGATACATGCTAAATGTGTTGGGGGTCGGTGTATATGTGTGGTATGGGTGTATATGCAAAATTTGTCATGGGTTAAAGCATGAGGGTAGAAGTAGTTTATTTCATGTCTTTGTGTAATTCTTGTTTTGTTCTCTTATGCTGTATTGAGATGTGAGACTTCTCGATTTCCTACATGTTATTGGTAATTTTTTGGGCCTTAGTGGAATATATGAATGAGATGGCTCTTTGAATGTTGAATTTCCTATCATGTGAACCTTATCCTTTGTATATTGTGCTTATTAGTTTCCTCTTTGGTATTGTGTCATGCTCTTTGTCATGTTGGTTGCTTATTGGGTGTTTTCATGTTGATTGGTACTAAGATTGGATCGACTTACAAGCTACAACAGTATATTGGTTGGACCGAGTGGCATGCGGCAACGGTATTAATATTTGACCGGGTTCCACGCCACAATGGTATTGAAGTTTGATTAGATTGCGTGCCACAACAGATATGATGTCCTGATCTTATTCCTTGTTGTTGTTTCTTTTTTGTGGTAGATACATTTATTCTCGGTAACCCGTTTTATCTTCTTATTTGATCTTACATTGTTTTCCTTTTCGCTCTATTGCTATTGTTTTCTTCTTATTAATTGCATAGGTTTATAAGTAATTGTCATGTCATAGCATACTTCATCGAATTTAGGCTCAATATTTACCGAGTACATTGGGTCGGTTGTACTCATACTACACTTCTGCACTTATTGTACATAATTTGGCATTGGTCTCAGTGGTGTTCAGCGGGCTTATTAGCTTGGACCGTTAAGGAGACTTGAGGTAGTGTTGCACTCCCATCTGTAGGCCTTGAAGTCACTTTTCCATTATCTTTGTTAGTGTTTATTATTTCATAAAGTTTTGTAATCCTAGCCGACTTTGTATTTAGTAATCTTAGACGCTCCTGTACTCGGTGACACCAAATTTTGGGAGTTTCTTAGATAGTATTTGGTTTTGACTTGCTATGTAATTTGTGAGTTTTTCCCTAATTAATGATATCATACTATTCAATGTTAGGTTTATATCTTTTGTCATTGTTGAACGTTGGCTTGCCTATCAAGCGGTGTTAGGTTCCATCATGACCCCTTGGTTGGAATTTTGGGTCATGACATTAAATCTCTCGTGTTGTCTCTAACTCAATATCTTCCCGCGAAGATGGACCGCAACATTTACCATTCAATCTCGATCTGATGTGGTTCACTATTTCAACATTAACACCACAACCCAATTATAAGAATTCTATTATACGCTCCAAATTATAAGTAGGATAGTTCTTCTTATAAGCACTTTATTGCCTAGAAGCATATAAATTAGCTCAACTTGTGAGACAATCACAACATGCAACAAACTATACAAGCATGTAAGCAACATCAACTTTAAAATTATGGTCAAAAACCATCTTTTTTTTTTTTGGTAATTAACTTTATTTCCACGTACATATATATACGTATATCTATAAGTTTGGACATTCATCCCCAAACTTAGTAACATCTCTTCTTCGATTCCCACTCTAAGGATAATAGTTGAGCTTTTGCATACTATTCCTTAATCTACTTTGCCTATCACCTATACAATGAATGTCTCTCACTATTTGTTAGTAATATCATCACTACTTCTCTTAATGTTCTGAAAAAGTCTTCTATTTCTTTCCAACCATATGTGGTACACTGCTCCAGTCATACCTAGCCTGTACAATATGGTTTTAGCACTATTGCCTTTCATCTGCTCAGTTGCCCATTTGATCTCCTCATCCCATCTTTTTGGTTCACGATTGATGTTCATCCATTTTAGTAATCTTCTCCATACATCTTCTGAGAAAGAGCAAGTAAAGAAAATATGGTTGTGACTCTCCATCGCATGCTCGCACAGTGAACATTCTGGACTGACTTGCATTCCCCATTTCCTCAATCTATCTTTTGTATATAGGATCTCCTGCAATGACAGATACATTATAAATTTCCACTTTGGACAGCTTCTGTTATTGCACATCAGTCGACTCCAGCTTACCTTCAGGAAGTCCCCTCTTAGTTGTCTATACATTCCTCTAATGGAGAATGAACTATTCTGCATTACCCTTCTTGTGTCTAAACCTGCTTCATTCAAATATTTCCCAGCTTGTAATATCTTCCTTATTACCCAAGAAGCTTGCTTTACATCAACCTCCCATGGTTCCCTTCCTTTTAAATAGTATGCATGCACCCATTTGATCCATAGTTTATCTTTTTTCTTTCCCAAGTTCCACAAATGCTTCAGTAGAGCTGCCCTATTCCATGTGTTGAGATCTGTGACATTCAGCTCTCCCTTAGTTTTAGGCCTGCACAGCTTGTTCCATGCTACTAACGCCTTCTTGCTCGAGCTAGTATCACCAGTCCGTAGGAATTTCCTACACATGGCTT